TATAATCATCATTAAGTCCATTCTTTCATACAAAAGTATATAAATTATGAGATACTCATACTCGAGTCACTCGACTTATTACAAATTTTATTATCTTAAAGTTAATCTTAAGGCTATGGTCACCTCACATGAATGGTCATCTGATTCTAGATATTCAAGATCAAGCGATGGAAAAAAGATGAAAAAGACTTTACTTTCTTTTAGATTTTGGGATACCGTAAATGAAATCATAATAGGAGTGAAACCACTTTACGTTGTCCTTAGTAAGATCGATATGGACAAGCATCTCTAAATGTGTTATCTTAGATATATGTTAATTACAGCAAGAAAAGAGGTAAACAAAATATTCAAAAATGATTCTAAGACCAAGCAATACTTACAAATCATCGATCGCGAGACTGAAGTTCATATGGACAAAGACATCTATAATGCAAGTAAATTCATATTCAATGCAATTTAATTTATATTTATTTAATATAAAAAAATATTAATGAAATTATTTGTCTTGTAATGTCTTATTTAAATATGATCGTTCAATTTTGGTATAGTCTTCGAATGCGATCAAATTTATTATCGACATTAAAAATATTATATATCGACTTTTGTCAAACACTATCAATGCAATTGATGTTTTTATGAAGGGACGATTATTTCAGAAATAATTGGTGTATTCTTCGATGTTGTAATTATATCATGTCATTACAATATGGATCTTGATGAGAAAAAATTCACACATGTTGATTATAAATTATATTTGACATTAATTATTTATTTTGTCAATAAGGTCCTATTTATATCTTTTTGCAGTCAAGTGATGGTTACAATTTGGAGGGGACATACCAAATTTAAGGAAGGTTATCATCCATGTATTTTTGTAGACGACAACATCTAATGGTTACAAACTTAATTGGTCAACATTCGCATTAATTCATACGAAGGTTCACATCAGACTATTGTATAAACGGTTGAAGAATCTATATATGTCTATTATAACATGCGACTAAGGTTGCGGTGTGTCGAGCTAGACAAAGAGCCAAGGAAATATAGATTCATCCCATCGACCTTCAATTCTACAATGAAGATTCAAAGACGATGTTAGAGTAAGTTGAAGCAATAGAAAACTAAGAGGATCATAACCTTAACCTCGAATACATGTGGTTTACAATGATCAGACTACAACCTTAGTCGCATGATTGGGTTTGGCAAATGGTGTATTAGTATACTATATCATGAGATCAATTTCATGATTAGATCTATCAAACATATCAAATTGATATATAAATAGATAGGATAAAAGATCTCGATCGATCACCCATGGAGTCTTATCATTGTTTTGGGTGGTAGAACCAAATATATCCATCGATTGATTACTTTATTTATTTGAATATCAAAGTTTAAGTTGTTTAAAAATAATCTAATAATTTAAAATATTTTTTAAGATAATTCAATATTAATAAAAGGATGATATAGAGCGTACAACAAAATTATTCAAAGCCTTAAAAAGATATGTGCTACTAATCTTTCCTAATTTAAATTTTTTTACTAAATTTATATTTATTTCTAACTTTAAAATCTTAATCTATTTTTTATTTTTAGATATTTTTGAGCTAATTTTGATAATTTTATTGTACTATCAATACACCCCGATGTATTAACATATGGTACATCAGTACGTCTAAATACGTATCATATGGCTGATCGATACATTGGTACAGATTGATAAGGCAAACCTTGATTTATCCACAACCTTAGTAAGTTGATAAAGCCAAATGTTAATATTTTTAAATGTCTCTAACCTAAAATAATATTTCAGAAATAAAAAAAAAAAACAATGGGAACCTGCTTAATACTGGTCAACTTGAGCTTACCAACCAGACCCTAACGACTGTGATATATATGGAGTTTAACATTTGATATTAAATTATGGAGAGGCAAAAAGATATTTCCAAACTTTGAAAGGACATATCGTTAAGGCATAAAAAGAAAGAAAAAAATCGTTCTCCATATATTGGATTGTGAATTGGAAAGTGTGTTGCTTAGTCATATGGCGTGGAAAATACTAGACCAGGAAGAGACAGGATCCAATGTAGGGCATGGAAATCCAGCAGTCGGTCAACTCTTACCATGTTTGAGCTCTTGTGCTACGTCATTAGTGGCCCTATCTTTAAAGAGAAACTACACTATAAGTCCTTTGAGGAAAAAGAGAATCTGGAATTCTTCTTGGAATACATAATTCGAAAGGAGTGCAAAGAGAAAATGGCATGTGATGTGGGGAAAGCCATGGCAGTAGATAAAGAGCCAAAAGGCCCCACTTGCTAGATGTTTGGCCACATTACTCTCTCTCTCTCTCTCTCTCTCTCTCTCTCTGGTGCCAACATGTGTCCGATCTACTTGGCCTAAAATTTAGATACTGATGCTTATAATGGATTTTGGTAAGAATAGCTACTTAAATATTTTATCATAATTTTTGTACCAAAAATATTCATCTAATGATAGTGTATCAAACTCAATTACCATGGATTGAGTATTAAAAGTTGAAGGCTTTAAACCTCATCCAATATTTTTTGTATATTTAAAATATCAATCTGATAGTAATAAATCAAACTCACTTATCAAAGTAAGATCGAGTGTTCGAAACTAACTTCATGCAGCAAATTTTTTAATGTACTAGTTAGCTTCATTAATAAAGACATGGTCAGATCATCCTAAGATCCTAAAAATCCACCTTCAACACTTATCTTTTACCAAAAAAGATAATAGTCCAAACTTAATTTTTTTAATCAATAATATATATATATATATATATATATATATATATATATATATATGAAAATAACACTTTGTTGGTGTCAACAACCTTAAGCCGTAGCCTCGGGACTGACGCAGCTTGGTTTGGGTCCGGATGACGGGGATCTCCCTGGGACGTTCCTCGAGACTGCTGAGGTGGCCGGCTGCGGTGGTCCGATCGGAACGGGATCGTCATTTCCTCCGAGAGGGGGCTCCTCGCCTCGACATCTAGCGGGAGGCCTCCGCCTTCGCACCTGCACACAGGTCGGGTTAGTGAATAATCGCAAGGGGTTTGTTGGTGTCCTCTCCATTTTCTCCCGTTTAGAATGCGAGGGTATTCATAGGGAAGCTTACTGTGCCCACTTGCATGGGGCAAGCTCGTACTCTTGGTAGCATCTGACACTAGTGTTGGCGTGGCGTGAAGGACCGAGCTTGAGCAGGATGTTTAATGTGCCTCGACCGATGTTCTAGTCCGTTTGACCAGGTGCTGTCGGGTCAATCGAGACGTGAGGCGTCATCTGGGGCAGCTGACGTCAGCCCGAGTCTTGTCGCCATTATTATCCTCATCACACTTCATACTATCTCATAAACTATATATATATATAGTTATTTTCATAAAATCATAATGAAGAATTGTGAACACATTGATAGTGGTTTTCTTCTTTTTTTTTTCGAATTGAATTACACTCAAGAGGTCTTTGTTAAATGTTAAAGCTCATGGGGCTTTAACTGCCAGACTTTCCTGTTTCTTATACTATTGATGTTCATAGATCCATCTATCAAACATGTAGACGCACTAAATCCGATGCGAAATCCGTAACGTTGACATCTTGCTAAAGTCAGAGCACACTCACATATAGGAAACGCGTGGTGCACACTAGCTAGTAGAACAAAGAAATAGAAGTAGATTTAGTCAACCAATGTATTTGTGTATATGTAACCTAATCAGCATGCAACGTTTTGACTCTGATCCGAGTCAAGCACGTTGACATAACGCATCAACATGTGCAAGTGAGGGGAGGGGAAAAAGATCTGACCCGCAACGGTGCCAGCCATTGTTTGTTGCTTACCGAACTCCCAACTCCACGATTATACGCATCCTTCATGTGCCCGTTCCCTTTTCCACTCTCGCTACAAGTGGATGGTATCATGACGTCAGAAATCTCCCTCTTTCTCTCTCACCAACTCGTTGGTTATATAGGGAGAACACCAAGAGAGAGAATAGAGAGGGCGAGAGAGAGAGAGAGAGGAACATGGGGAGGTCTCCATGCTGTGAGAAAGCTCACACCAACAAGGGCGCCTGGACCAAGGAAGAGGACGAGCGCCTCATCGCCCACATCCGAGCCCACGGCGAGGGCGGATGGCGTACCCTCCCGAGGGCCGCCGGCCTCCTGCGGTGCGGCAAGAGCTGCCGTCTCCGCTGGATCAACTATCTCCGCCCCGACCTCAAGCGCGGCAACTTCACCCAGGAAGAGGATGAGACCATCATCAACCTCCACCGTCTACTGGGCAACAGGTAAGCTTTAGCACCTCTGTGTATGCCTCACGCGGAAGGCTCCTAACCTACGTATAGATCCTAACTCTCAACACAGATGGTCACTGATAGCCGCGAGACTGCCGGGGAGAACAGATAACGAGATAAAGAACTACTGGAACACACACATCAGGAGGAAGTTATTGAGCAGAGGTGTGGACCCTATAACTCACCGGCCGTTCGACGAGCGTGCGCCATCAACCATCGCAATCTCATCGGAGAGGAAAGAAGAGAAGCAACAACAACAGCAGCAGCAGAGTAGCAGTGACGAGTCATCGGCACAGCGGCAACAAGCCCCCAAGTGTCCCGACCTTAATTTGGAGCTCTGCATCAGCCCTCCTCTTCTTCGTCGAGAGCCTTCCTTTCAGCTGCAGCTTGGGATCACAGATTCGGCAACGGAGTGAGAAGTCTGCAAAAGCCTAGGATGAAATGAAAAAGGCTATATTAGTTATCCAATAGTCAGTCTTACTCCACTTCATTTTTCTTCTTCCATTTTGTAAAATTACAAGCAGATAAAGTAGTAATCTAAAGAATGTTTGCCATTTCTTATTTCCAAGTATTTATTGAGTGCATAAAAGAAAAGAAACAGGATCATAAATGGTTGTTTACTTGACCTATTAAGGGTCTGGTTTCTGCAATGTTAATTGAAGCTGTGTGTGAAGCACTCGAGGCTTTGCCCAGTCAAATGTAGTGCATGTGGGTGTGGATGAGAGGCAACAAGCCGTGATGTGCGGAAGGTAGGTAACCAAACTTGATAAAGAGTGGAGAGATGCAACTAAGAAACTTCAACCTTATCCATGGCAACCCCCTTTGTGAGCATAGCAGTAGCCAAGCTTTCCCCACACCACAGACATCAAAAAGCAATCACCTAACACCCATCCTCCCTTATCTGAATTGAGGTTATCAGGCAAGGATCCTGCTGTCCATGTCTTTATCCTCTTGTTGTCTCATGATGGGCTCCATGAAGAGGACGCATGTAGTGATCAGCTATGGGGTTCTAAATCTACATACAAAAAGTTACTGAACATTTAGTTACACACTAAAACAGAATTGCAAACACCAGTTGGCAGTTAGTCATGTAGCTACTAAGCCGGAAAATACAAAATAGTTGTGCCTCGATGTAAAAAACATATTGTGATGACATATCATACATCGATAATGTTTTATCATGTTCTGGGAGCAACAGTCAGAAATACCACAAACATCTTTCTGGCTCAATTGACAAGTTAATATATACACTTGAATGATGCAACAAACATGAGAAAAAAAGTTTCTTCCATAGATTGACATGTAATTCAAGGCAGAGAATTATCTTTAGTTTCAGAAATCATCTCAAATATATGCAAAATAATTTGGGCACACCAGTGACTTCAAAATGCTCTCAACTCCAAATCTATTGTTCTATTCTAAAATACACAATTCACATACCAACTGAATAACTTCAAGAAACATTTTTCATTCTCTGATGCTGGATTTTTTGCTAGTAACATTCCTTGCACACCAAGTTTTTGCTTTAGCATTTTGAGGTGTTTGATTGCCCCTGATTCTTATTATGATAGCAACTTATTTTTGCCTTCACTATGCATCTAGTTTAACATTTAATAATGAGTCCCATGAGTCCTTTCTCAACAACTTTGGCCCTCAAATCCCTGCAAGCAACTCATCCTAAATGTTAAGCTAAATTGGAAGGTCATATCTTCAACTGGATGATACACTGCAGTTTTTTAATGAGTTGCACATGGAAGATCTTTGGATAGGCCATAAGACAGAACACCACCTAAAAGTTTCCAACAAAAAAGGTTAATGAAGAAATGTGCTTTTCCATCACCTGAGTTCCACTTTTTCAACAGGTTAGGTAGGCTGAAATCTGAGGAAGCTTCCCATGTTCTATTTTCTAAACAGAACAATATCCTTTGGGTCTGTTATTACCTAATACTCAAACCAGTGCAGTGGCAACAAACAATCAATAGCTTCTCTTTTAAAATGTTCATGTTGACTTGCAGTATTTACTTAAAGATGCAAACACTAGAAATATAAATGGTTGTCATGTGCATACTCATAATGTTCTACTATTGATGACAGACATAAAGGAGAAGACCAGGAAAGAAGGATTTAGATGTTTGAGTTACTTCTTGCTATGGTATCACCACCTAGACAATAGACATAAGATCAAGCAGTGTGATCTCAGTGATCCTAACAATCAAAACAACACATTTGGAAGTGGTCTGATTGTACCGTCATCTTGGCGATTAAATATCTTTTCTTACATGACTTGCAAATGCTTTTGAATCATGAAATTTAGGCAAACGGTGCCCCATCACAATAAACATAAATTATTTTTTAGTTGTTTCTATATCATTGTGGGCCAGTCTTAGATATGGGTTATGATATGTCCTTTCCTGATTTTGTTGGTAGTTGGCAACCATCCTATCAAGTTCCTCAAGTCAGTGCATGTGCATTGCATGGTTCCCCCATCGCACCCCCACTCAAAACCAAACAGATAATTCCAGCAGGAAAGCTTCTTGCCAACTCAATGTATAAATTTACGTTGTATAGCACCTAATAGGACGGGAATTTATGTGAAGGGCTGAGGAGTTTGTTCTAAATATATTATGGCATTTAGTGCTTGCAGAAGTTGTGGGACTTCCAAGAGTTAGCCATCCAATTGTTATCCCATTCATGTTAAAAGTTTAAAACTTCGAATTGCAAACTGTGAGATCAAGACAGAGATAATCTTTTCCTCTCTCTATCTGCCTACATCTCTCTATCTTTTGAGATGTGAAATCCTCAAGTCAAAAGCTTAAAGTAACAATTATGTGTAATTTACTTCTAAATTTTAGAGGAATGGTAAATACATGTCCTATGAAATAACTTCCCTCCAAGAAAAAGTTCTTCAACTTTTAACACGAAGATGCATATACCATAAAAGGTTAAATATGTTCAACAAATTGATACAATCATCCATCTCTACAGAAATGATCAAATAGGATCAGCAATTTGATCAGTTCTAGAGATGTATGAAAGCTGGATTGTGTACATCATATTATCACAATGAATTGGCAAGCTACTGTAATCAACTGCCAGCACAACAGAAGATGAGATCGTATTTTTCTTTATATTAAGGTGGTATCATACTTGACTGAATAGTCAATCTACCCTGCTTATGACACACAATAGTATTTGAAACTTAAATTGTATTTCTAAACAAAAGTATAGTTAATCCTTAAGCACTTGAAAGGCAAATGTCCACATCCACAAAATAATGTATTACCATGTTACACAGCAACCGGGAGTATATACCTCAATAAATCTTCCAGTGATAACTAATGCTAAGTTTGTCAGTAAGCAAAGATTTCACAGATTCTTTTCAAAGTAAATTCTGCACTAAAATTTTAGAGGTAATACTCCTCAAGGATAAGTCCAATAAACAATGAGCATTTTGTTGCCATAAACCTGGCATGTTTGGCTATAAAAAGGTAGGCTTTGCCACCATTATTCTGTGATTTGGGTGATGCAGCTTTTCCAACCCATGTTCTAAAAAACATGGTTTCAGATTTTGTATGAAGACTTGTGGATGCCCTTCTCCAGTAGTGAATGATATCAGGAGGATGACTGAGCTTTAATCTGATGAGTTGTCCCTTAATCCATGGTTCTCCTCTGATCCATATTTCTATTGTTAGGATGTCTTGCATTTACACATCAGACCACTAAAGATGAGATCTCTCAGTCAGCCTCGACTACTCAAGGATCGAGGAATTCATTATTTTACGCTATGTTCATATATCACCTATATGGATAAGCATTATCTTCCATATCATCCTATCTTGTGTTGGGTTTTTAAAAGAGAACCATCCTGTCCAATAAGGGTATATTTTATCAGTGTAGCAACAACATTCTTGTACCTATCTCCACCTTAACCAAACTCGTCATTGCTGTTTGCCCATGTAACTAAATTATTGACCCAACCACATATATCTCATCTTTGCTTTGTGAGTAATTGTCTCTCTTTGTCCCTTCTCTTACTCCATTCTTATGTGATGCTTCCTAGTTGAGTCATTTACTACAACATTTTACCAAGTAGAGAAAAAAGTCGGACAACACACCTTGAAGTACAATGCAGAAAATTGTTTGTTTGTGTCTCCGACACTCAACCATGAGCCCTTCTTTATAAAAGTCAGAATCTGCTATCGGTATAAAAATCATAAGGGAAGGTGAGACTGGCTTTTTAGTCAACAAGCTATGCAATATATAGAGATTTGATTAGTCTGAGCTCAACAGACCTAGACCTCATTTTTCACATGAGACAGATGAATAAACATGGATGAATAAAGGCTAAATACACATCTCAAAGAGTCTTGGGACTCCAGAAGCTCTTATCTACATGATTTGAGGTTATTTGAATCATCTGCTGTCAACATGGTATGGATGCTGAACAGTAGCAAATAATTAATTGATAAACAGTTGCAAATGCCTTTGTTCCTATGCCACGTATAATAAAAACAGTTCACGCTGCTTATTTTCTACATCAGCAAGTTGTCAACGAGACAATTATCAGCTCTAGTGAGAGTATTTTTTAGGGAAGATGTCATGAGCCTAATATCAATGGGTTGCAGCGCTAATGGAACACAAACCATACTAACATCATTCTCAGCTACTGTCATGGTAGCCAAAATGACAAATGTAATATATAGCTAACTGTTTATATCGGCAATTTTAACAACTACATCAAGTATCTAAATATTTATAGAACCATCTAGATTGTTACATAAAGTTCATATGACAGTTATGAAAAATGTGGAACACCGAAAAATCTAGTACATTATTTATGATGTCAGCGTATAAAAAAATTAGGGCTGCATTCAATTCATAATTAGAATTGGATTCCAATTACAATCAAAATCCACTGAATCAGAGTCACAACGATCAAATCCCTATAAAATGTTTGGTCTACTAATTCTTCTAAAATAAGCATAAGAATGATAAATCCTCTTACATGTTTGGTACATGAACTCCAAGATTAGAGTCAAGATGAAATTTTGATCAAAAACTAACATACAAATATTAACATAAGATATTTATGCTTAAGCGAGATATTTTTATTCCTGCGATAACTTATAATTAATAATTTTATATTTTTATTCCTTTTTGTTATTTCATATTCGGAATTTGACATACACTAATATTTATATTATTTAATGCCAAAATTATGTAATGTTATTTAATTTTATCAGTATTTTGTTTTTTGTTAAGTATTTACCAATATTATTTTATATTGAAAGTTTTATTATTACATTTTATAATAAATATGTATTCAAATTTGAATTATTTAATTCATATGCTTTTATAGTTCAATAATTTTATATATAATATTATTTTAATAATATCTAACAATTATTGTATATAATAATTTTATATATAATATTAATTAATTATTGTATCCTAATAAACAAGAAAAATGATAGCATTAATTCTCTAATAATACATTAGTTTTATTTTGTGACATTAAGATATTTATCCTGAGAGTTGTAACGTATTAGTTTGGAACATTT